CGAATTGTGTGATTTCTTTTAGTTTTTTAAGACAAATTTAAACGTCAGTCAGTTTTTTTGTCCGAATTAGTTTTTTTTTTTTTTTTTTTTGGTAAAAAAATTTACTTGATTGAAGTATTCTGACCGAAATAGTCACTTTCTTGTAGTGTGTTTTTATCAATTTGATATGAGGCGAGATCAAACCCGCCTAAGGAAGAGATGGTGCACCTATTTAAGGTGAATAATACCACTAGGCTCAAAGAGCTAGGTGTGCCATGAAATCTTACTTTGAATTTGACTCCACGAAAATTTACATCCATTTCATGGCGAGCTATATATGTTCTTGTGAGTACTTAGTACGTATTGATCAAGATAAGTATTATGCTCATTGTATTTTCCGTGGGGGAATTTTTTCCTCGGGTGTGGATGATACAAAAAGATGATAGTTGAAACAATTGAGGGGGTTATTATTTTCAAAGAAGTAGTACCACATACACTTCAACATTGATTATTATGTTCCCCAAAATCTCTTATGGAGGATGGACCATAGCTAAAGATGAAATTAAATGAATCTTTTAACATTTAGTATTGAAATGGCAAATTTGGGACCAGAAAGGCATAGAGCAAACTGTGTGCACAGTGGCATATGTCCATACCAAAATTGATGATCATGTGAGCATGAATCAATACCATGCTTTGATCAAATTAGGCAACAAGTGGCCGGTCCGTAGTGCGCCACTTTTCGCTGCCATTTTCGAATTGGATTTTTTTTTTTTTAGAGAAAAAAAAGGTGAAAAAAATTAACTCTTTTGCTTGTGTGTTTTTCCTAGTCATGGCTTTGAAGATAAGATTTGATATCATTTTAATGTGTAATATTTCATTATCTCATATCCCAAAAAACAGAATTTATTGGCTTTGTTTGAGTGTTTAGAGAAGGAATGCCAACCACCCACATGTCTACCTCCTTTGAAAATGAAATTGCAGGGGCAAAAAATTAAAAAGGAAAACAAGAGTTCGCAATAACAAATAAACTAACCCCTGTCTTGATTTGATTCCTTATCTTTGGGATGCAACATTGTTTGACACAAGAGATGAGAAGATGAAAACAAATCTAATTACATCTTCAACTGTTATGTCATGTGGGTCGTTTGCTTTCCCTTAACTTTTGGTCCTTATTTGAAACAATAAAAAAGTAACAATAATAACAGGAAGGTGGCTTGTTTTGGCCTGCAAATCATATCCCTGGTGAAAGCAAGCCTCCAAGGTTAAACCTTTGTATATATCAGTGGATGTAACGTGCTCTGCCATTGAATTTAGCTCCTCCAATGTACACATTTCGTACTTCAAAATAAGGTATTTGAATTAAAAACCTCTCGAGATTAATTGAAAGTTTCATGAGGGATTATCTTGTTGTGACTTCTCTAATAAATTAAATATTTATACATATCAAATCTTAATCAATATATTCCACGGTCTAGCACCCAAGTACTCGTCTAGATTGGACATGGGGTTAAACTGTGCTACTAATTTACTAGTAATGATTTGTGTTTTTGAAGAAGAAGGCCTTTCTGGGGTTAAACTAAACCTGAGGTTCTAAATGATCATGACCCACGTTTAAGCCCTTAAAAGTTACGAAAACCTTTTGGGGGTGTATGATTGGACCTAGAGAATTGGGCCCCCTCTTCCCCACACAACAAAAGGGCCCAACAATAAGCTGTGGGCTCTGAAGATTTATGAAATGAAGAAGCTACAAAGGCATAGCACATGCATTCTAATGAGCTGTTTTGTACCACTGAAAATGAGATAAGCAAGAATTGATGGGCTATGGGACCTTGAATAATGTTGGACCAAAATGCTTTCAATGTAATTTGGGGGAGAAAGCTACTAGATTTGAAATTGCTTTCTTTTTATTCATTATGATTGTTGTCACATACAGAAATTTAATAATCAAAATTATGATTTTATTCAAACAGATGTGTTCCATCAAAATCTACAAGGAAGAAAGCCAATTAAATTAAAAAAAGAAAAAAAAAAGATGAAATATTTCTTTGTGATCTTTGTAACCAGAGTCTTCTTGGGCTTGTACACTCTTGTGCCATTATCCAACATTAAAGGCCCATCTCTATTTATGTTATTGATTTTGATATTGGAATGGCCCGGCCCAATATATTGGACTTGAACAGAGTACGATTTGTTCAACCTTTTAAAGCCCAAAAATTAGGGTTTTACAGAGACCTTCTCCTTCCTTCCCTTCTTCACCATGAATCAGAATAACCAGTCGGCCATGAAATCAGAATCAGCAAAAGGCAAGCGAAAGCTGCGAAACCCAGAGGCCAACAGTGAGGAAACAACAGAAGCATCGCCGTCGGATTATTCCTTCGCAATCACAAGGATCGCCGTCGCTCAGGTTTGCAAATCCATGGGGTTCAGGCGGACAGAGCAGTCTGCTCTCAACACCCTTACTGTAGTCGCTACCAAGTACCTGGAAACCCTGGCCAGATCGGCGGCTGAATTCTCGAATGCTGCGAATCGCACCCAGTCCAACCTCTTCGACGTCACCAACGCCCTTCACGACCTCCATGCCGTCCACGGAGGATTCCTCGGCGCATCCGCTCTACATGATAGCAATTGCTTGTTGAAATCCAGTGTGTTAAAAGATCTGTCTGATTTTGTTTATTCCACCGACGAAATCCCTTTCGCCAAACCTATCAATAAAGAAAAAGGGAGAGGAACAGAAGCAACTACTCCGCCGAACTCGGAGAGACGACCCAAGCATATTCCGGAATGGTTGCCGGAATTCCCTGAGATGGTTGGTCGTGAGGAATGTAATAAAAGAGTTAATCAGGAGGAATTGTGGGAGAACACCAGTTGGGCTCCGGTGTGTGAAGGCGGTGGGTCTGTGGGAGGAAGAAACAACGATAATGGGGGTAAGTTGATGACGGAGAGAGCAAGAGTAAGCTTCAGAATTGGCGGAGGGAAAAGAGTGGATTTGAATGGTAATATCGGAGAATCGCCAGACCGACGGAAAGTAGAAGCCGACGACGACGACAAGATTTGCACTTTCTTGCAGATGCTGATTCTGAAGAGGAAGAAGAAAAGGCAAAGACTCCAGAAAACGCAGGAGAAATAATTATGGAATTTGAAATATTTTTGTTAGCTATGAGGGTCGAACACAGTATCCTCAATAAAGCAAAGTTTTGATGATGGAAAGCCAACCATCGAGGCATACCTTACCGCTGTTTGTGTTGAGTTAGAACAAATCAATTTTATATCTAATCATATCAATTCTTCCAGGCTTCTTACTCCTCACGCCTGAAGCACATCAATCTAATGTTTCGTTCTTAATTCCAAATGTACAAACAATTATTTGAATCTAAGCAACAATCTCTTCAAGCAATTGTAATATGCAGATTGGTACAACAAGCTTAGAGATTTTCCTACACAATCAAAATTTAGGTTGTCTGGCAATTACTAACTTTCTACTAGATATAAGAGGGACATATATATATCAGGACTGATGGGGAGAACATCCTGGCTGGGAGAATAACTCTTCATTTTTTATTTCCGCAATTGAAGCCACCACAGACGGAGAGGACTATGATGAGGATCAGCGCAATCAGTATTCCCAGAACAATCAGCTTGATCTTCATATTTTGCAGCCACATCTTCCTACGGATTCTTGTTCCTGAATTTCGGAAGTCTTGAGCCTGTAGACAAATCAATTTCAACACCAGAAGATTTAAGTTGTCACAACAGAACGCTTCACTGCGGTTAAACAAGGCATTGCATAGTTTTAATGGAAATCACATTACTTGCCATACATAATGCCTTTGTGCTAGATCTAGTGGCAGCTCTCTAGCATAATAACTGCCAACAATCTTGCATATATTGTCTTTTTCAAACATTTCAAAATCGACATTTTAAAATGCTTACTTGCCTTGGTTAAATTAGTTTAGAATTTTGTACTAGAAGGCAAATCTCAAATTCCCACACTTGAAGTGAAACAAAAATGAACATGGCTTTAAGTTCATACTTTGGTACAAAATTCAAATAGATACACCATCAGCACATGTATACTTTTTTTTGGCCCACTGCACATGCATACATATTCACACATAAAAGAGAAAAAAACAGAGAGAGGGAGAGAGAGAGAGACAACTGACCTGGTGATGAAGATTCTCTGTCTTATCCACTAGGATCTCAATTTTTTCCCCTCTATCTAAAACCTGCAGGAAAGCAGATAGCAGATTGCTTAAAGATCTATGATACAAATGTCCCTGATGAGTGAAAAGTAATTGATTGCTGAACATGTTATGTACAAATCAATAGGAGGATAGATGCACTCAGCCAGAAAAAACTTGGTGCTCTGTTAAATATTAGAGTAACATAAATCCAAACTGATTGTGAAAATCTATTAATAGGGTGTTGGCTTTTGGAAGCCAGTCTCCACGGCCCATATGATTAACTACCCAACAAATACAAGATCATCGCAAATTTGCAAAAGAAACTTCTATATAAATGGAAGGTAACTGTTAAAATCATCACAGAAACTGATAGCCATACAGCAAAATACCACCATCCTCTTTGTGATATAACACATTAAAAATTCCCAGCATCTAAGGGTTAAGTAAAAAATAAAGGCTAACAAAAATTTTCATACTTTGCCCCTTTGAAACTGTTCACTTTTGCTAATTTCAGTCCTTGAATTCTTAAGCAGCTAAGAATCACAGCTCTTACCTTTTCAATGTTCTCCATCATAACACCTTTAACTTCTGAAACCTGAGCTTTCACCTTGGCAATCTTGCTTATCTCTTCAGGATGATCAACACAATACTGCATGTGTTCTTTCAACTTTGAACTGCAAATGGAAACATATCATGTCAGCTACAATGAAAGAAGAAGATTTTCATGCCAAACTCTTCATAATTTTGTCAAAGTAGCATACCCAAATTCTTTATTGAGGCTGTTTGCAGGAGCTGTGGCAGCCTTCCCACTACCATATTTTGAAATAAAGTCATCCTTGACACGCTCCAGAAATGCAATCGGTACTTGTCGACCCACTGATTCTTCTGCAACCACACAATATGCTGCAATATCTAATGGTCAGTCAACCTGGAATGGAAAAATGGATAACTAGACACACACGCACGCACGCATATAATTTCATACATGAACACACATCATTTGTAAAAAATTTAGTTTTTTCTCAAAGTAGGAATGGGAAGAACAAGAACACAGAAATTGTTAATCCTATTTACAGACTCAATGTTGTGGAAAATAATAAATATGTAATTATCAGTCATAGACTTAAAATAATATTTCACTTTGTCCAATGTCCACCCTTCCTAATAGAACAATTTCCCTTTTTCATTTTGTTTTATTATTACTTCCAAAATCAACTAAATGAAGCCTTAAAAGAACTAGATGGATAACTGGATATGGCTACAAGCATATTTTGCAGAATAATACTCAGGTTGTAGTCTAGAAAAGAAAACGTTAAAACAAACAATATTAATGAACAATGAGGTCCAACAACTCAAGAATGCAAAGAAACCACAATTCTGATCCCTTGAATACAATATTCATGCAGCATCAAGTTTCAACCAATCAAAATATCTTTGCAGTTAAAATATATTAATATCCCAAACTGTCAAGATAAATAAATCTATGAAGATTTGAGCCATAAACTAAAGAGGCATATGACAGGACAATTCAGGAAGAAGTGCTGCGCAATCTAAACCATCCCAACAGAATCATATATGATTCTTTTGACTATGTGACTTGTTGCTGATGTTAATGCCAGAACTCTATTCCTGGAACATCAATAGGAACTCGGATTGCAAAGTTGTATAAGCAGCAATCAAAATATCAGATTGGGAAAACACTAACCATTAGTAAAAAGCCAAATAATAGAACCTTATAAAGGATCTAAATTTGTTTGCATGGGAACAAATAATGATTCAATTGCAAATTAATTATACTAGCAGTCATGATTTTCCAAAAGGGTTTGTCTAACCTGTGTAGTGTTAATTGCATCCTTTTACTATTAATTTGTATAGGAAAACACAAAAACTAACTTCATTTTTAACACTGATGACAGATGTCTTAAATAGATTATAAAATTGAAGTCAACTTTTATTTTTTTCTTAACAATTAATAAGAAAAAGGTAAAATTAATACACTGTTCCTAAAATCAAATCGCATATATGTACAAATTAAGAGGACTTGAGTTAACTTTCTAGTAGCCACAGATATACTCAATTGAGCTTAAAAAAACCACAAACAACTATAGACCCTACCAATCTCTCCTTTTCCATTTTCTCTTTATTGACATGCATTTTCCCGGGAATCAAGCTGAAAAAAAAAAATATATATATATATATATATAAACGGTTTGTTAATTTGAGTGAAAAGAATTCGATTCTCCTTAAATAAGATTTTGAATTCGAATCTAACGAATAAAATTATAAGTGTTGGAAGAGCTTCTCTTAATAGATTCAACGTTACTCGATTCGAAATTAATCAACACCTAATATAATTATTGAATATCAAAAGATTAATATATATATGAATTAGTCCTTGTTATTGGAAGTTGTATATTCTAATTAATTTCTCTTTTAACAGCACCCAGAGAGAACCGTTATTAAATAGCAGTTAATGAGTTAATCAATTAATTT